CTCTCTCTCTCTCTCTCTCTCTCTCTCTCTCTCTCTCTCTCTCTCTCTCTCTCTCTTTCTCTTCCTCTTTTTGAATGATGATGCGTCTGAATGATTGTCCCGCTCCTGAATGAGAATGAGTTTGCATTTTGTTCCTGGGTGAAAGAACTTCTTTCGGAACTCTTCCATTAGTTTCCTGGGTGATCCTCCTATGCAAGGACCCTATCTTCTTGTCTTGTGAACGGTGGATGCGTGTGTACTATGCAATGCGATATATCCTTCCCTATGCATGTCTCATTTTCGCACCTTCCACAGTGGATGCATGCATGGAGACGTGTGACTTTTTTTGATTAAACGATTGACGTCGGGATTTTGTCCGAGGATGCAAGAGTGTTTAGATTTGTAGCTCTGAGTGCACTGTGCATGCCATCTGCCTTATGCTGTCCGGCATCAGTAGCCGACCCACGAGGCGGCCTCGAGAAACAAGGCGCCAGGAATCAACATCGCACTGGCTAAAGTTGAGCCGCCATCGGTCCCGTCAGTTGCATGCATGATTAAACTGACGAGTGTTTTTTCCCCTTCTTTGGCAGAAAAGGATTGATTGAGGATTATTTCCTCCTCGTGATTGATATGTGGACTGACAAGTACCCTCCGATCGGGCGTCAGCCTCCCGTATCGCCCGTACCCACACGACCTTTTCCCTACAACGAGGAAAGGACACGTGTATGCGAGTGGGACGTACGAGAAGCTGTCGCGCAGATCGGCGGGCGATACTACTTCCCCCCGGCAAACCGTTGTTCAGGGTTCGTMRAAGCTGGGTTTGTTATTATCGACACACWCTTCCCACCCTACTGAATATTGCTCCCCTTTAACGAACTAATCGTTATCCCGTGGACGACAGTGGCGCCCCATTGGCCTCGAACCCTGTGCACAGAGTGCCAGCATTTCGATCGCTACGAAGCGAAGGGCTTCCACTACCGAATACGGAGCGAGGACGAGCACAAGGAGAGAGCCACGCGTTTGCGACCCTCCTCATCAGACTCAGAACTGACCAACGAGCGACGACGGGACTTGATCCGAAAACGAGACACACGAAGCGTGCCGAAACCCTTCTGCTCTAAACGACGGGCCGTAGCACGGTGGGAAGCCCGACAATACTTCCTAGATTGAATTTGAATTTTGTTCTCTTCGCGCCTTGTCCGCGCGCGCATTTCGCGACGCGCGCAAACAATCGACTTGCTTCATCGGACCAACACGGGGGATTTCAGTTCCGTCTGTGTCCCCACACTCAATTTCCAAAAATCCTTGGGACACCCCATCTTGCTGTTTTTCTGGGCCTCCTTCCGCACAATTAACACTCCAAACGAAAGACAGCACGGGTCGTGAGGTTGCGCGTCACAACCATGAGAGAGCCATCACACTACCCCATAGAACACCCATACATACTGAACGGTTACCCCCATCCCAGTCAGACCAGGCAGACCAGGCAGACCAGACTACTACGATAGCAAAGACAACAGACAATGGACAATTCAGACTATCTGAACACCCCATACAACAGCCTACACAACCAGTGGGACCATCCCCCCAAGGGGTATCCGGCCCTAAGATGCGACTGCGCCGGGGTCCGATCGAAAGGGACCTTGCAAGAGCGGGTGCTAGTTCAAGGCCATTTAGGGCCTCGCTCGACACCACTCGAACTCAAGGGTTGAAGGAAAAATTCTTCGTTCCACCCCTCCCTAATGACACGGCCGTAATGTTTCCACTTTCCTGCTCTCAAGTGCGCATCCTTGAACGCAAGTGCGGCTGGGGCAAAATCGCACTTGAACTCAAGGTACCTCCCGGAGGTACCTTGAGTTGAGTTCAAGTGCGAACGGACACTGCAGAGCACTTCAAGTGGGGCTTTTTTTGGTTTTTCTTTTTTTTCCAGCAGGCATCCTGGTCCAGGATTGGTCAAGCCGTGGAGTCGGTTTCAAGTGCAGCTCTTGTTCAAGGGTTTCTTCAAGTGTACATGGAACCATAAATGGAGTTTCAAGTGTAAATTAATCAGAATTTCTCGTATAGGGTGCCCTTGAAACTCTAGTATTTTCAAGTCGCTGTGGTGTCGCCCTCAGCCTTTTTTTTTTTTTCTTTTTTTTTTTTTTTAACCTTAGCCTACTTGCAGCAGGCGCCCAAACAACCGGGCTCGGAACGGTCGCTGGATGCGAATGGCCACTACGTCGGTCGACGCCCCTCCGGTGTGGTGTACTCTGCGCAGGAACGGAGTTTTGAACCCGCAACCTTAGACCACAATGCGCATTTCCAACCAGTGCCCTACCCACTAGGTGATTTCAACAGTTCACGGGTGTAGCAACTGAGCTAGGCCCGTTGGTTCAAGGATTTTTAATGTAACGACAACGACGCTTTTATTTCTATTATCCTGCAAAGACCAAAACCATGCCTGAAATTGCAAGCTGACAGCATCATGTTGACATGTTGTCTTTTTTTCCACTCATTTTGAAAAAAAATCCTCTGAAATAAATGAACTAGCTGTCTTTAAGCCCAGGTTGTTGTAGAGGCTGGATTGAGTCTGTTGACCAAGACACTTATATTTGGATTCCCCTCCAAAGGCAGATTGCAGAATCAAACACCAAGCCTGAAATTGCAAGAGGACAGCATAATGTTTTTTTTTTTTCCCTTTCTTTCTTTCTTCTTCTTTGAGAGAAATAAATATATGGCTGTCCCCCGATGAGGAGAAGGCAGATTTCAGACAAAAACAAAAAAAAAGATT